GGAGCGCGTGGTGCCCATCGTCGAAATCGACGGGGGAACTGTCGTGTGTGTGCAACGTTTAAAATGACTATTTAGGCTCGATAGCCACAATGCCCACGCACATCTGCCACCGCATTCTTCTTGCTTTTGCTTTGCGTGCGTGGGCAGGGAGGTAGGGCGAGGTAGACCCAGCACAGGTCTGCTTCACTACAGAAAAAAAAAACAATCATGTGAAATTAATTTGAGTGGACCCAATTGTGAAAAAACTCGAGGCGTTCGTTGGCGGGATTGGAACCCGCATAGTAGAGAAGGCCTTTACCGGAAGCCAACGCTCTAACCACTTGAGCTTCTAGATGATTGCTTAGGAAATCCTGCTTGGGCAGTCAGCTTGCTGTTCCGCATTGATTGCTTAGGAAATCCTGCTTGGGCAGTCAGCTTGCTGTTCCCTATTGGTAGATTTCATACGAGCAGAAAAGTTGGGTGGTTAAAATTGATCCAAGTGTGATTGAATTCATGGCGCGAGGTGGGAAGTTTGTGGCTCAAGTGGTTTGAGCGTTGGCTTCCGGTATAGGCCTTCTCTACTACGCGGGTTCAAATCCTGCCGCCGAACGTCTCGAGTTTTTTCAGAATTGGGTCAACTCAAATTATGTGAAAGTCACTAATGGATCCCTTCTGTGGGACAGTAATCTTTTGCAGCTTTAAGAACAACGGCAAGAGGTCCAACAATTTGGTGAATCTACTAGCGTCTCAACGTGTGCTTCATCATAATACAGCCTCCTCAAGCCAGGCAAAATTATACTGCGCAATAAAACAACAACAACACTGCTTACAACGTGTGGATTCCACGGGCAACCCCGGTTTCTCATCCACGTCCTGTTGTTCCTCCTCCTCATCAAGGTCCACCTTATGAGAGATGGGAGCCCGCTCTTCCACAGGCGGGAAGAAGTCTGCAAATTGGGTCTGCAGATCAGCTGCAGGATCGAGGGAGGGAGCAGAATCAGTACTGCTTGGGTGGCTTTGGCGGCGAACTTTGCTGACAGTAGCTTCTTCCCCATCTTCTTCCTGGCTGACACAGGATATTGTGCGCTTGCGCTTTACCTTAGTCAGCAGGCTGGGGGTCGTCAGCGTTGAATTCAATTCGACAGGGGCAACTGGCAGTGAGGTCAGTTGGCCAGTCATGGTTTTCCGTCTGCACATAAAAGGTAGAAAGCAGAATGACTACTACTACGAGGACAGTTTGACCGACAATATCTACAGTGGACTCCAAGGCGTGCCGGGACACGGCCGGCGACTTGCGCATGGATTCGTTTCGGGTGATAGTAGCTGATAGCGTTGCATCTACCAG